TCTTATCCTCACTACAGACAAGCATCAATTTTGGACTTTTAACAATTTTCATAACCTTTACAGCCTTTCCTACCTCCCTTTATATTACAGAAAGAAATTAAGCAATAAACAATTAAATGACAGAAAAGTTTATTTTTCACTTTCTACTATAGAAATTTCAGTTTCTTTTACGACTACAGTTAAAAAAACAACAACAAAAAATGGACAGTGTGGGGAATGAGCTACAAGAACTTAATCTGTAATTTTACATATTTAAGTCCATCGAGTCATACTGACAGATTTCTGTCTTCGTCACAGCAGCGTTTTCTTTATCATGTAGAAAAACTGTTAAATATGTGACTTCTTTACACTGACTGAAAAAAAAGTTTAAATGGTTCAAAGTGGGCCATATGTGGCCCACAATGTAAAATTCTTTTCACACCCCTGATTTATAACATTAACTGATAAAAAATTAATTGATATTTAAGTAACTATTTACCATATTACATTACATTTCTTACTTCTGTTGCAAAAAGCCCCAAAACATTAAGCAAAGGGACTGTGGCTAACATTTACTGTACAGTTCTATTCATTAACAATATTTTTATTTACTGACAGAAAGAATATTTAATATAAAGGTCAAGTGATGATCTGTGACAGAAACGTGTTACAAACAACTGATGTTGTTTTATATTTCTCAAGATCCTTGGTGCTTCTCAAATCAAACAGTTATGCTTGACGTGTATTAAATCCTTATATTAGCTACCTTTCACAGATAAAGAAAAAAATACAGGCAAAGGATCAATTTAAGGGCAACCATTTAATCTTTATTGTTTCAACATAAACCATATCACATTATATGATACAATAAATTGAAATGAAGTACAATTTACATATAATAATATAAATAAAAGAGAAAGTGTGTGTTTACTGCTATTTGAGATATTGTCTAAACTGATATATATATTTACCTTCCCAGAGTCATAGCTCTTAGCGCTCAGCTGGTTGATCTGAGACTTGCAACATTAGCATCCTCCTCATCCTCCTTGTGCCCGTACTGGATCTTCCTGCCCTTGGACAGGAATTCCCTGGAATACAAACACAGCAAAATATTTAAATGTTCAAAACATGTAAATGTTGGAAATGGACCTTTAGATCTATTGTCCTTGAAAAAAAATAAATATTTTTACTCACATTTTAAGTTATAAATGCCTTTTTAATTAATTCCATAAGTGTGCTTGTCTCTATAACATCATCTCATTTAATTGCTGATTTTTTAACACTCAGTGGATTTTAGTGTGTTTTATTTTACAGTGATTGCTTTAAAAACCAAATTGCATGTGGGGAAAACGCTTTTTTGTACTGAAATTAACAGTTATACTTGAGGTTTTAAACAGTCTGACTGAATATACACAGTGGAGGTTGGTGACAGTCGATTTATTGGTCTGACGGAGCCGATTCTGTTGTTATACATAATAGAGGGTTTAGTACTTTTTTTGAAATGTACAAAATTCTGGGCAGTTTTTCTTTTTGGAAAGATTTAGGTCATTTGTTCTAAATAATAAACTGATATAGAAATTGTATAGTTACTGGGGTCTTTTGCATGCAAATGCAGGCACATATGTATTATTGTAAAATATTTGGAATGACTTTGAGCAAAGATTTAATTTGATGTAGTTCATTTTAATTCCCTTCAGGTTAATGTAGTTTCAGAAAACCTCCATGTATAACATTCTAAACTCATTTGACTTTCCAGGAATGTCCAGTGTGCCCCAGTCTCTGCGAGAACTTTTGGCCTTCACTTTTGCGTGAGTGCGGTTTAGTGTTCAGAGTGCACAGAGTCTGTGTGTGCAGCATGTTTTAGGGCTCCACTGTCATATCCATGAAATATGAGTAGTTATAAAGGCTACTGCGGTGGTGACTGTAAGAGTGAGCATGTGTTTAAAGAATGGGAGGGTAAAAAGCTGTCTCTGAGCTGCTCCAGTTGCTCACCTGTCACGAAATACCTTTGATTTGACAGTACTTAGTGTTCTGTACTGTTCACAGGAAAGATATCTATACTACAAATTATCCAAAAGCTTTACATGCAATTTAAAAAAAAAGAAAAAAAGAATATGTCACATTAAACTGCCCTGCACAAAAGAAATGGAACTGTTACTGTGCTCAAGTGCATAGATAAAAATGTTTGCACAAACACTTAAAAAACACACTGCAGCCTCCAACAGAGCTCCGAGTTTGTTCAAAACATCTGGTTAGATAGCTGGAAGCCGTTACTTAACCATTCATTGTGAAACAGAACACACCGTTTCGGTTTGAGTAGTAAAAATGCTTGTTATTGCTGATTCGTGACAAACACAAAGCCCCTAGCAACATACACCTATTAATCTTATGATATGTTTTAAAAATTCATTTCTTCCCAACGAGCATGGTAATCAAGTTATCTTCATTTAAGCAAGATAGCTTTTAAAAGCCAGGAGTAAATGAGGAAATTGGTTCCTATGCACCTCCCCTATGAGGAAAGGGGAAGAAAACAAAAGCTATGCAAATGATATGGAATTTTTTTTGTCTGGGGTGACTGTCGCTGAATTATTAATGGTTATGTAATATATATTTAACTTTTTCCTGTCATGTTTTCAGTTGCACTGACCTCACATGTTTATGCTGGCTCACAGAAATTTAATGGTACACACACAAACAGATTAAATGGATAGATAGATGAATGGATTGATGGATGGTAAATTATGGTATATGTGGTGTTATATATTGATATTGATATGCTTAGTTGTTGTTTGGCAGGAAGCCGTGGAAAGAAACAACTGTGGGGAAGGTCCAAGCCCGGCTAAAAAATGAAATACAATATGTTCTGGACCTCAGAGCAAAGCTACACACATTGGCAGGGTTGTCATATGCTTCAGGCCCAGAAACAGGACGACAGAGGGCTTAGACTCATTTTCACCACGAGAAAAAGGGCTTGTATTGCTCCCTTCGTTTAGCTCCAAATTACTCATCAAGTGCCAAGGACCCTTTGTGGTCACATGGCAAGTGGAGCATGTTGACTATGAGGTTGTACAGTCTGACAGGGGAGGAGCCACACAGATATATCACCTCAACCTCTTGAAAGCATGGAGAGAGGCTGAAACTGTTTCTCTGGTGAGCGTGGTTCAGGAGAGAGATCAGTTCAGGCCGGAGGTGCCACGTTCCACCATTCTCCTAGATTATGATGATCATCTCACACAGGCCCAGAGAGCAGATGCTGCTTTGCTGCAAAAGTGGTTTGCAGATGTGTTCTTCCGCCTGCCCAGCCATACAAATTTCATAGATCACCATTTTGAAATGGCGCCCTGGCATGACAATGCGTTTTTGGCCCTACTGGTTACCTGAGCATACAAGACAAGTTGCTTAAGAAGGAATTGGCTGTGATGCTTGATATGGGAGTGATAGAAGAGTCGCACAGTGCGCGGTTTGGCGGGGACGCCATAGTTTTTACAGTGAAGAAAGATGGGTTTATATGGTTCTGTGTTGGCCACTGCAAAGTGAATGAAGTGTTGCAGTTTGATGCTTATCCAATGCGCAGGTCAACGAGCTCCTGGTTAGTCACATTTTTTAACTACACTAATTTTAACGAAGGGCATTCCACTCTGTGCGGTTTGTACCAATTTGTCACACTTCCATTCAGCTTGTTCAGAGCCCCTGCCACGTTCCAGCTCCTTATGGACCAGATGCTGCATCCACACGCTGCATATGCTGCCGCCTACCTGGATGATGTCATAATCCACAGCATGTGCAGCGAGTGGCTGTAGTCCTGGAGTCTCTGAGGCAGGCGGGCTTACAGTCAAACCAAAAAAGTATGCAGTTGGTCAGAGGGAGGTACAGTATCTCGGGTACCACTTATGGGTCAAGCAGTTGCGCCCGCATTTGGAGAGAACTACGCCCATCACATCCTGCCTGCACCCCAAGACCAAAAAAGAGGTGAGACGGTTCTTGGGGTCGACTGGTTATCACCAACAATTTGTGCCAAACTTTGAGGAGCTGACCAGCCCTTAACCAATGTCACCCGAAAGGGGGTGCCAGACCTGGTCCAGTGGACTGAGCAGGATTTGTGCAGGTGATGAAGGCTCTCTGTGGGGAGACCCTTTTCACACCCTTCAATTCTGCAGACTGATGCCTCAAACAGAAGAGTTGGAGCTGTTTTGTCCCAGCTTGTAAGGGGGGTCAACTGCCTGGTTGTATACATCAGCTGTGAAGTGTCAGAAATAGAGACCAGATAAAGGAGTGTCTGGCCATCCGCTTATGAAGCGCTAAACTTAAACTGTGACGTTTTTGACGTTGTAGAGCTTCACAACAGAGAGATAATACAAAATATCTGATACTCATGTATTATAACAGGCACCAGTGTGTTTTCGATGATGTAAAATAAACGCACTATCCTCCCTTCAAAATCAGTCCATATTCATTTTTATATATTATTTGTGGGATAAAGAGAAATAGCAGCAGCTACAACATTTTGCCTTTGTTTAAGAAGCTCCTACAATATGTCAAAAGCATCTTGTCCAGACTGAGACTCTTTGGCAAAACACAGAGTAGCATGGCAACACGCGCTCCAAAGCTTTAGCTCTTCTGTCAGTAAGAAACGGGTTCGGAACTGGAATAATCCAATAAACTAAACCTGATTTTGATGCGCAAAGCAAACAGTACTCACCCACCGGCCTGCCTGCATCTAATACACGAGATATCGCACTATTAAACCCATGGAATTTCCTGTGGTATGGTCATTCGCTTGCCATCAGATGTCTTGGGTGAAGCAGAACCCATGACGCACTGCACTGCTTTAACACAAATTTCTGCCTGGTAATGCAGTCGTTTGAATGCCCAAATATATCATTCCTCCAGAACCCTACTATTTTATATCTCCTTTGTTCATTTGGAGGAGGCCGGCGTGTGCCACTGACTATGCCAATTTGGTGGAGCGTTACACGAAAACGAAACAAAAACCATGTAGCCAGCCATTCCATGAGTTTCGGTTTAAACGATAGAGACACTGGCCGGCCGCACTGAGTTGCACTCTGCGCCAAGTATTATTGGTGAGTCTTTATTTTATTTCTGAACATTATACTGTAACCTGTGTCGCAGACTTTTGCTTGTCCGCGCAGCCGGAGTTTGTTAGCTTTGCTGAGCTGTACACAATGACGCAGTCTTTGATGCGCGTTACCTTAAACGACCTCGCCTCGAAGCCGTTTGAGGACAGGCTCGAGACAAAGCAGTGGACGTCGATATTACATAAAAGTTTACTAACGAGAAAAAAGAAATGAATGTCGGTATGACGTGTCTACATAAAATAATAATAATAAACGTATAAAAAGCGCACACTCACACAAATGATTCCTAATGATTCAAACGTCCCTCAAAATCGCTCTTTTTTGTTATTAATGAGCGAAATTCACCTAAATTAGAGCACAGTTAACGCTGTTTACTTATTGGAGCACTTTTAGTTGTTTAAAGTGTAAATCTGTGAGGTCGATGGACACATAGAAGTTTTACTGGTTTATCAAGAGCGTGTTAAAAAGTTTTATGGTTTTGAAAATGACGTAAAAGACCGCGTTTGTCCATGTATGCCTCCCTTTCAGTGAATAAAGTGCGGAGCACGTGGTCTCCTGCAAATGCAATGGACGATCGCTTTGCTTTGTGGCTTTCTGTGTGATTATAATGTTAATGCTCGCAGTGTTGGGTTTGAAGCATCGACTACTATATTGATGTACGACGATATGAATGTATGATTTGCATGTCTGCTACTTGCTTCCTTCAGTCAAAGCTGCATTTCACAGGTAAGATTGTGACTTTATGTGTGTTTCCCCCTCTTTATTTGTATCAGCCGATGGAGTCTGACCATGGATGAGGAGGTCAACCCTGACCATGAAAATGTGAACTCAGTCTTGGCTCAGGACTCCATTGAACTGTTCCACATCCTCAGCAGTCAGTCTCACTCAGTCATAATGGAGCTGTGTCAAATGATGCCCAGTGAAGCTTGGCGCCAATATCAGCTTGACCCCTCAAGGTCTTCTGCAGCAGCAAGGCCAGAACTCATCAAAACCATGTTGGATTACTTCAGGTCAGCCAGTGCTCGAAGATGCCGTAACTTCCTTCAGAGAGTGTGCTTCTCGTGTGAGAACATCCCCATGCTTCTGGAGTCGAGGATCATGTCTGTAGCAGGATATGACAGCAGTGAGTATAAACTGGTGTTTGTCCCGGACCAAAGCACTGCAATCCTCAGTCACTTTCACTTTGAGGTTTACTTTACTTGTCTGGGTCCTTTGTTCTGTTAAAACAGTAGAACAAAGTGAAAGGTAATTTAAAGCAGTCTTAAAAATAGAGTTTTGTTTGGTGAGCAAATGCATACGTATACGTGTTTTATGCATACAGTACCAGTTAAAGGTTTGCCTGCTGAGGCGAATAGGGTATAAGCACTGAGGTTGACATGGAAGTGGTTACATTTATTTGACTGTATACGGAAAGAACCCAAAAATCAACCCCACAGTACCCACAGCATCAGCAGTTTTCTTCAAAGTAACACACTATGACAGCATGAACTAACTTTTACTGTATTAACAAACTTGTTGAATCACCAAATTCAGTATAAATGGTTACTAATTTCTGTTGAATAAGGGTTGGTGTGCTCAGCTCTTAATCTGTTATATTTAGTCAAGTTTTTTTGTAATCCGCACAGTGGCAAATGTATACATAGAGGTTCATATATATTTGACCACTGGGCAGATTTATATTAAATAGGTTGGTTTCCTGGTATGGACTCAGCTTTTAAGTGTAGTCCACATATTTGCAGTAGGGTTGAGGGCAGGGTTTAGGAAAGCAATTCCACTTAGCCGACTTTATTTATTCCAATGCTAATACGCTTATTCCCATGATGAGTGTGTGTAAACTTTTGACCACAACTATAAATCTGGGGCACAGACATCAGAATCCCCTTTTATTGTACAGATTCTAACTGGAGTATTTTAAATACTATTACTATAGTTTTAGTGTTGCCTAAAGCATTTTTTATGAATATAATGGTCTTATTTTGGGCCACAAATTTGTTAGGAGCTCCATTATTTGAGGTTCTTTTGTAGTTGGCATGATGGACTACATTTAACCTTTCTAGTGTCCCTAAGTTGTCACTTAGAACACATTTACATAAAGCCATAGAGACATTTGTTGTCATGTTTTCACAGCATGGAGTTGAATAATACGTAAAATATATTTAACCATAGTAATTACAAATGTAACTGTAGTTGTGCTTATCTGCATGGCTAACAGTGTGACTTTGTGCTTGAATGTTTAGCTGATGATGTACCATCTCCAGCCGCAGAGGACGTGTCTCTAGCAAACACAGGTAGACCACCTCTGTTTGCCACTGTCTCATATCTGTGTGTACAGAATAATTGTGTGGATGTGTATGTGCATGTAAAGATTTGTAGTTTTAGTTGTGCTTGACCTAACCTCTGAGCTTACTATAAATGCATATATTTGCAGTCTGCAGGTGATTTTCCATAATTTGGTGTTTTCTTTTTTGGTTTTACATCAGACTGACCACATTGGGTCACATTTCTCTGGCTTGTTTTGTGTGTTTACTGAGCACACCCAAAGCATCTTCCAAATAAAATGTGGCTCAGCCATAAGATCAGAAGCCAAGATTAAATGATAATGAAACCCAAAATGAGGCATTAGATGAAATTCATCAGATGTTAATGTTTTTGAATTCTCATACGCTTTATTTTTCTAAGTAAAAATAAAGTAAAAGTAAAATTTAATCACAGTAGTATAACACAAAGTCAGTTAAACCAATGTGCCCATTTTGGAAGGTTCAACTATTGTGAATCCATTTTAGCTGCTTTAGTGCAATTGAAAGTGACATGAGGTGCACTGGAGTGGCAACTTCAAGATGATCTCAGAAGAGGAAATAGTTTTGCAAGTGGTTTTGCAGACCATTGTTCTCTCCTTATACCTCTTGACTGACTCTTTTAGCTGGTGTCGCTGTCATTGCTGGAAGCATGAGATAGCACCTGCGGCCCATGCGGGTTGTAAGAGTTTCTTTTGCTCCTCCAGTGTGCCACGTCAATATGTGCTATCACAAAAAAGTTTGCTGTGCCTTCCAGCCTGGTCTCAAGATAGTAGAGGAGATGCCTATCTTGTGGAGTCTGTTTCTGACAGTTTGGTCAATGGAGGTTATTTTTTAGGGGTCTAGCTGTGTTCCTCCTGCTACTGCTGTTGGGTTGAAGGCCTTCTAGTGCCCTGTCTTGCTCTACTCTTCTAATGGCCTGTCTCCTGGTATCTCCTCACAGTTTTGTAACTGTGCTGGGCGACAAACCTTTTTGCGATGACCTGTGAACCTTAATGGGATGCAGGTACTGTCTCAGGTAATCAGCAGTGACGAGTTCAACAGCAAAAAGCAGAGCTAGAGGAAAATCAGTCAGGGGGGATAAGGAGAGAGCAGTAGTTTCTCCATCACCTGCAAAATCATTCCCTAGTTGTTGCTGCTCCGGTGCCCCCTCACTGGTGCTTTACACCAAAGCAGGTGAAATAGGTTCACAATGGTTTGTACTGATATTTACCCGTGTTCCCTTCATTTTTGAGCAGTATAGTCTTCATTTATCACCCGTGGCTGCAAAACAATCATCACTACCCTGATGGTGACAATACAACTATAACCATTCTACAGCCACTCAATAGTTATGCCTCTTTCTTTCTCTTTTTAGAAAAGCTTAAATTGTTTTTTTAATTTTTCTCATTTATTTCAGCAATCACTTGAATTAGCTCAGTTTAGTTTACAGTAAAGGCTCAAAGAAAACACACTCAGGGGGAAAGTGAAACCAAAAGCTTAAGATTGTTGTAAATAGGCTTGCATGTATCAAAAAATTTACGTAACTTATTTGTTCGTTTCACTTTGGGATTCCCCCAGCATTTTATTTTTTTTGGTGTGTAGATCATTTCAAAACTTATTGGAAGGTTTAAGAGGTGTAGCTACAGAATATTTGAACGTCTTGCAACACACTTTATTGCATTCATCCTTTTTGGCATGTTATACTTTTCTGCAGGGTTTTCATGCACTGTATGTTTTCTGTGTCTTCTGTATTGCAGACGGTTGTGAACGTTTTAGGCCTGCTGTAGCATCTTTAGAGCAGCGGCTCGTCAAGCGCCCACGGATCGGTAGGATACACATGTGACTTTTAATTATTCATGCGTTACAGCTACGTTCAAACCATCACACAAACCAACAAAGAGAAATATTTAATTCATTGATTCATTAATAAAAACACAAACAAGAGTTTATGATAAGAAACTAGGAAGAGTTAAAACACAATACAGTAAGTGTGCAGCTGACAGTGGAAAGACTGGGATCCATCTTGGAAAATTTCCAGTGCCTATCTAGTTCTCACAATAATTAATCCAGCATGGTGGTATTGCTTATTTAGGTTAAAGTTTTAAAGGACTTATCACTTTTTAGCACTCAAACCCTTTGCCTTATCTTGGCAGTAAAGCATGTGCTGCCAAAAAAGCTCTGCCCCTTTGACACATGGACTTATGAACTCTGTGGTATCTAGCATCACTGTGTTGGTGGCGAATTGTTTTTATGTTGTATGTAGGGGATTGGGAAATTGGGCTTACGTGGATGAGGGTTACACATCATCCCACAGATAATCAGTTGAAATTGATGAGGAAGTTTTTAGTTTAGCATTTAGTTGTGCTGCTTCATGTAGTTGAGCAATTATTGTACACTGCGGGAAGCTGATGTCATCAGAGCGGGCCTATGTCTTAGATTTCAAAATAAGATCAACCTGAAACCCAGGGCTGACATTTTTAATCAAGACAATCGCACTGTAAAGAGATTATCGGTGTTATTCACTTCTAACTTTTCTAATGGGTTCCACCCACAGATCACTGGCAGCAGTACATCAGTGAAGTGGAGAAATTCCTGCTGAAGAGATGGGAGCGACTCACAGCTGGCCTGGTGAGGGAGGTCCAGCTGGAGAATGTATGGGTCAGCCCGAGAGCGGCAAACAGAAGCAGAGACAGACCTGATCAAACCCCTGGCTCAGCAGACAGAGGGGGCAGAACACCAGGTCAGCAAGACTTCCTCTAATTGTACCAGTTGATGATTGGGCTTTTTTTAAATAAAGGGATTTTTTTGAAAAGTATCTTGTGGTGCACAAAGAAATAAAATCATAGCAGTTTTGTATGTTCTAAGCTTTTCATGTAAACTTACCTAATCATGAATATTTGAAGTCTGCTGCACACCTCACATCTTTCTCACCAAACTCAGAGCCCGATGGGGATTACGGGTATTTGGAGTCCAGAGTGACGTTGGAGACGTTCCTCCAGGGATGTATGGGTAAAGTGACAGTTCTGGTGGGCAAGACTGGATCAGGAAAAACTCTGCTAACATCCTGTTTGGGACAGCAGTGGGCTAGTGGATTAGTAAGTTCCCTTTTTGTCAACATTTATAATTATTTGCATTATCAGACATGTTCTATGTTCATCTGTATGGCTAGTGCTGGTCTTATTTGTATTCAGAGGAATAAAGGAAGAGCCATTGTCCCAGAATTTGCATGCTAGTGTTATAAAAACATAGGACAGCTTTATTTCCATAGTGTATGTAAAGGCCACATTAAATATAACTGACTTAAACTGGCTTTACTGTGGCTATCATTATTAGAGTATGCTGTAGGCTTAGGAACCATCACTGACCTTGCAGAGGTTGCAGATGATCCAAACTCTGCATTCTCATTGTTTATTGGAAAAACCTAATCAATAAATTATCAATTTGGTGCATTAAGAATAAAAGTGAAGAAGCTCCTGCTACTATCAGGCAGCTACTTGTTCAGCCATTTTTCCACTGCAAACTTGTTTCTTCTGGAGCCAGTGAATGCTTTTTACAACTTTCACATTTGTGGAACTACCTGAGCTGTGCAAATAGAATTTATATGACTTTCTTTCCTCTGCCAATTGTTCTCCTCTCCATCTCATCCAGGGTCCTATCCCTTCATCCTTTGTGTTTGTCCTGCTGGAGTTTCGTCAGCTCAACCTACTATCACACCCTCTTTCACTATCAGAGCTGCTTTTCCAGTACTACCTCCCTCCAACTGGGGGAGAAGATGCAAAGGTACGCACGTAATGCTTGAGTAATACTTGTTATAAAACAGTACATTTGTGATACTAAAAAGAGGGATGCATTTCATTTAAATCAAAATCTGGTTTGAGCTAAACCCCTTCACATAGTTAGTTATGCTTTGCATTCTGGGATGTGACAGAATATCATATCATATTAGTGATAAAATTAATGTAAATTGACGATCAGAGTTGTGTTTGTGTAAGAAAAAAAATGAATCCATGGGAAAAGGGCTACAATTTTATGAACTCATCAGCTGATTTGGGCCAGAGTGAACAAACTACACGTGTGAAATTCAACTGCTCCCACATGCTAAACGTATTCTTCGTTTGAACAGAGAGCCATTATCGACTACCTCCTTACTAATCCAGAGCAAAGCTGTTGGGTACTGGATGGCTATGATGAGTTTCACGGCAAACTCAGCAGACAAGAAGTGCAGAGGAAACCGCTGCACTTAGAAGATCCTCTGCCCGTCGCAGACCTCATCTCAGGGTTGCTAAATCGCCAGATTCTTCCAGGAAGCACTGTGCTGGTCACCTGTCGTGTACGGGATCTTATAGATTTGGATGGCATTTCAGATAAAGTAGGCCAGCTGCTGGGCTGGGACCAGGATGAGATCAAGGAGTATGTAGACAACTTCTTTGGTGCAAAAGGTGAAAACTTTATTTACTTGTATTTACATTGTTGTTGGGTTTTGTTTATTTATTTTATTTGTTTTATTTATTTCTGTAAAGCTTTGAGGAAGTGTTGTTTTTGGCTCTTCTGTATTAAATTAATTTTTCTCTGTGGAAGTTGGTGCTTAGTATATATAATCAAGGCAATACAATTATATCAAGTTAGAAAAAAATGTAATAATTCACTTATTACTACTTTTTTGTATTAACTGATAAAATATGGTTTTCTGGACACCAGATTTCTGCTGCTTATTTATTTCTTGAAAACATCTAGCTCTCTCTTTCCCCACAGCCAAAGTTGTCTCTGATATTTTTTCTCGCTTTCTCTTTGACTCTTACTTGACACTTGTCTGCATTTTTTATTTTCTCTTCAGTTATGGTTGCTGTGGGTTTCAAGACTCACATAAATATCAGCCAAGTTTGAACTTGCATGTTTCCGACTAAACATTTTTTGTCTTTTTTATTTTACTTGTTGGCAGTAGCTTATGTAAATAACCCTAATCTGGGATTATTTACATTTTTTGCAGTGCTATATTTGCTCATTCAGAACTGCAAACCAGCACCTGTATCCAGGTATAACTGGCAAATTGCTAATATTTAGACTTTCAAACTAGTAGAAATGAGTAATTTCCATATAAAACAGGATCTCATGCGTAATAGCTGCATTACTAACATGAAAAAATTGGTGTAAAAATAATAAATAAAATTCTTGTGCACGTCTATCTTAAATGTATGTTGTCTTTAACTAGTTTAATCATCATTTACACCCAGCAGATGTAGCTCTTAGAGAGCAGGCAGCACAGCTCCTTCTCTCCAGTCGACACCTCCTCGCCATGTCTTCCATTCCTGCCCTATGCAACATCTGCTGCATCTGTCTTGAGCATTTACTGCTGCAGTGTAGAGATAAAGACACAGGAGGAGCACCGATGCCTGACGAAAAAGGAAGTAAGGCAAGGACAGATGCTCAGGAAGCAGAAGGAGCACAGATGTCAAGAGAAGCCAGAGGGGAGGAGGGCAATAGAAGAGGAGATCCTGCACAAAGGAAACAAGAGGATGGAAAAAGAAAAGGGAGCAAGGATGTAATAATGGATGGAACAAATGGCAGACCCCAGCTGACTCCCACTTCACTCCAAGTCCCCGCCACCCTCACTCAGGTCTACCTCACTGTTCTGGCCTCATTTCTTAGCCGCGCCCCTAACCACGGAGGAGATGGCGAGCCAAAAACTAAAAGATTTCCTCACAGGTAGAGACTGAGCTGTGAACTCACTCTAGTGTATCACCATCTTGAACATTATATTTCAAAAAAATATAAAGTAAATGAAAAAATGACCATTTAGAAAAGAAAGCACCAGTGTAGCAAAAAACGTGTCATGCTTCAGTTTATGGATTATCTGTTTTCTGTCTTTCCGTGCAGTGCTGTCACCACACTGACCATTCTGAGTCAGTATCAATCGGAGCTGTGTGAGCTGAGCCAGCTGGCTGGGAGAGGCTTAGAGGAAAGCAAGATACTCTTTTTGAAAGAAGAGATTCCACAGGAGGTTTTAAAGTTTTCATTGAAAATAGGACTCTTATCACAGGTCAGACATGAATGCATGCATTAATCTCTTCCTCATATCTGTGAATGTCCACAAAATCCTTGTTGTCGAGTGTTTGCATGCTATTTATACTATTGATACTATTAATAGATTTGCTTAGTGGGCAAAAGTTATTTGTGTTTCCTTACAGTGGGCATAGATAGGGCTGTGTGTAGTAAACAGTAAGGGTAGATAAAGGTTGTCCTTTAGACAACTTGTCATGTTTGTAACATATTATTAATAATAACATAATTACTTATCTGCTGTTAGGTGGAGCTCAGACGTCAGGACGGGATACTTGCCAATGCCTACTGCTTCATTCATCTGACAGTGCAGGAGTTTTTAGCTGCACTGAGAATCATGACTAGTAATGATGTTAATGACGCACAGCTGAAGAAGAGGTAAGGAAGCCAAATGGAGAGAAATATGGGTGTAATTTTTAAGAT